GGAATGGAGGTGGACTCTCCAAACTGTCAAGTGGAGAATCAATAATGTACTCCGATTACCTAGAAGAAGCCAAACTCCTCCAGGATCATGACAGCAAGGTTCAACTCAAAAAGAAGTAAAGTCACAATCATACAATGCTACGCACCAACAAATAATGCAGATGAAGAGAAAAAGGAGGAATTCAACAGACAACTGCAATCAGCACTTGACAAGACCTCAGTTGGTGATATTAAAATTCTAATGAGCGGAGTGACATGAGTTCCAAACTGGGAGCGGCAAACACAGGAAGAGAACTAACCATGGGCTGGGAAGCGCTCGATGAAATGAGCGAGAATGGAGAATTGTTTGCAGAATTCTGTGCATTCAACGATTTGGTTATTGGAGGCAGTGCGTTCAAGCATAAGGATATCCACAAAGCAACATGGAATTGATTTCATCAGATGGATACACTACACCGAAAATCAGATCGACTTCATCTCGATGTGAAGAAAGCGAAGACGCAGCCTCCTGGACACAAGGTCACGAAGGGGGGCCGGTGTAGGTTCATACCACCCACTGTCTAGTGCAAGGAACTTTCCAAATCAAGTTGAAAGCCTTCACAGTTCAACTTAAACACTCAGAAACTGAATGACGGAACTACAAAGTAAATCTTCACGTCAGTCATCAAGACAAAACGGAAGATTTCGAGGAACATCCCTGAAGAAACCTTTTTGGAAGAAAATTGGAAGTCTTTGAAAGCTGTGTGGAAAGAAACTTGCATAACCGTATTAGGAAGGAAGAAGAAACAAGATAAGGAATAGATCTCAATGGATACATGGAAGCTGACAGAGGGGAGGAGGATGGTGAAGCAGAAGATCAACCAGTGCAAGGATGCTCAATGACAAGAGGAACTGAGTACAATGTATAAAACACTGGGCAAAGAAGTGAAGACAAAAGACACTTCTATGAAACACTGGCAAGTGAAGCAGAACAAGCTGCATGTGTGAGAGCTGGAGACCTGACAACATTGTATCAAATAACCAGGTTACTGTCTGGGAGGGGAGAGATCAACGGAGATGAAACCAATAAAAGATGATGAAGGAAATTTAATTACGAAAGAAGAGAAACAAAGGAAACAATGGGCTGACCACTTCAAAAAGCTCTTGAATCGACCACCACCTGCAGCCACAGGACCACAAGTGAACACAAATCCCCCTAGCAAAGTCAAAGTCCTGAGCGCCATAAAGCTACTGAAGTGCAGGAAGGCATCAGGACCAGATGGAATCCCGCCAGAAGCAATTAGAACAGATGCAGAGACAACAGCGACATGCTCACACCACACCACTATTGCATAAGGTCTGGAAGGTACCTGCTAACTGATTGGAAGAACAGCTACCTTTTCTGACTCCCAAAGAAGGGTGACGTAAGTCTGTGCAAGAACTGGCAAAGAAATCATGCATCATCCCGGAGAGACTAAGGGATGTGCTGGATTTAAAACTACCACCGGAACAGGCTGGCTGGCTGGCTGGCTTCAGGAAGTACAAACTATGTGTGGACCAAATTGCAACGCCACAATACGCATCATCATAGAACAGAGCATAAAATGGCAGTCAACTCAACTCTACCTCAACTTCATCGACTTCGAAAAGGCCTTGGACAGTGTCAACCGAGAAGTAATTCGGAAACTGCTTCAACACTACGGAATACCACAAATATTTATCAATCCCATTCAACAACTATATGAAGACGCCACATACCAAGTAATTCACAATGGAATGCTCAGTGATGCCTTTGAAGTGAAGACAGGAGAAAAACAAGGCTGTCTACTATCACCCATGATATTCCTGATTGTGGTGGACTGGATCATGCAACAAACAATGGAGAGCGAGAAGAGGTGGATACGCTGGCTGGACTGCGGAAAAGAACCTAGAAGATCTGGATTTCCCCAGTGATGACTTGTCTCTGATGTCACACAAACTTGAAGATCTAAAGGCGAAAACTAACAAGTTGACAGAAGAGACAGTGAAGACGGGACTTCAAGTGAATATAGAGAAGACAGAAGTGATGAAGATACCCAACCAACAACAACAGCAACAACAAGCTCCAATCACCATCAGTGGGAGAGACTTAAAGAAAGAAGCCTCTTTCACCTATCTGGGCAGCACTGTTTCAACTGCAGGTGGCTGCACAAACGAGGACGTCAAATTCATTATCGGAAATACAGTAAATCAGGCGTTTAGTAGCTTGAAACCAGTGTGGAGATTTTCTGCACTCAGAATGTCGAACAAGATGCGGGTATTCAACACCAATTCAGTCAAGTCAGTGCACCTATACGGTTCAGAGACTTACCACGCACTAAAGGGATTTCCAACAAACTACAGATATTCATCAACAGTTGCCTACGCTGGCTTGATACTAAAGATCAGATGGCCAGAATAACAGGAATATGCAACAAGGAGCTCTGGGAACGAACCAACCAAGAACCTATCACCCAACAAATATGCACTGGAAGGAAGTGGAGATGGATTGGGCATACAGTGAGAAGGCCGACTGGGGACATCAGGCGTCAGGCCAGACTGTCGAGTGGAACTCAGATGGGAAGCGACGAGTTGGGCGTCTGAGGCGAGGGTAACATGGAGAAGATCGTGCGAGGAGGAAATGGGAGCATGTTGGTTGTCGTGGAGCCAAGTTCAAAAGATTTCAGAGAACAGAGCGCATTTGAGACGTGCTACTGAAGTCTTATATTCCATTGGGAACCCAAGGGATAAATAATAATAATAATCAGTGCTATAGAACAAAGGCTGATTTCGTCTTGGCGTATTCCTACATGACATTTTACCAATCAGGTTTGTTTCACATTCTTAAATTAGTTTTTATCCTTCTGAAAACGGAAGTTGGCTGTCTGAAATAGTAATCGTTATTCGTCACTCCACTGATCATTGAAGTAAAAGTTTATAGATTCAATTATAAAATTATTAGTGTGGTTTGGTCAGAACAATATTGGACAATGACGTTTTATTGAACAAAGATCTAATTCACACAACCTCTTATTTTTGTATTCTACATGAACGAAAATCACATGACAACATCTAATTTCTGATTATGCTTGGTCAAACTAGCCGCATCTTCTTACATTTTCTATGCTTAGTGAAGCATGAAAGAAGTAAGGAAACATTCATACTCCATGTATACGCCAAACAATATTCCGGCTTTTTCTATGCACACTCCATTCCACTAAATCACTTCAGTAGACCACAAAAGTGATAAATATGGATGTTTTGAATCATGTGGAAATTTCTGAAATAGTTTTTCTTAGATATCTCTTTTCGCCATCTGAACGCTTCTTTAAAATAAAACCAAATATGACAAATAATGTTGTTCAAATATTTTCTATGCCCTAGATGAAAATCATTTAACCGACAGTATTTAGTCTTAGATTATACACTTCACAAATTCATATTTTGTTGCAGTTAATTTGTTCGATTCAACTTGATAACGTGAAATCGATTTTTGTTATCATACTTGTAATTTCCTGTTGCTACACAGAACCGACTTGCTCGACCTTTGTCGGCAGATAAGCTCCTATGCAGATACCTGGATACTGTCGGATATTCACGATGTTGAATTCATTTTGTTGATTGGTGGAGGAATCCAAAACATGGTCAGGACTCGTCAGCTGCATATACCTGCCTCTCAGTGAGTGATGTTGTCCCCACAAGACTCGATCCAGTACCATCGCTTCAACATGCCGCTAAAATACGATAGCCACCTCTTGTGCAACTGATACCCATTGGAAAAGAGGTGGGATACTCGATAACGCCTTGGTGTCTGAAACGGTGGGCAGTAGGTTCGAGTCTCAGTGGGGAGAAAATCACCCACTGAGGTGCAGGCGCATCCAGCTGACGAGTCTCAAATGGGATGAAACGAGCCTTCTGGATTCCTCTGCCAGTCACCAATATGAATATTACATCCTGAAGTGGATTAAGTTGCAACGAGGATGCACAAGCATTGAGTCAAGTGGAATTTTCCTATCTTTTCTCTACCAGATATAAACTGTCCTATAGGCAAGTTACTGGGAACCAAAACTGTCCTGTTCTATAGATAAACGCTTACAAAAACAAAAAGAATTTTAAATTTTAAATGACTGCCAACCTTCTGCTGCAGTTTAGTTGCTTTGAATGAATACTGAACTTCTTCGCAGTTATCCCATCTTATAGTAATGATGTGCAATGACTGGTAGTGGAATCCAGGATGCACGTTTCGTGTCATTTTGAACTCGTCAGCCAGATTTACCCACCAACCACTGGAAGATGTTGTTCTGACTTCGATTCTTACAAATGTCGATCACGTCAAACGTCATAACGTTATCCACTAGGCCGCTGAACCACTTGTGGAATGAAATGAGAAACCTGAATTCCACTGCTGGCCACTATACATCGTTACTATAAAATTAAAATGACAGACAATGTCAAGTCATCCATGCACAAGGTCATTTGTCAACAGGGACAGATAGATTCGGTTCAGTGAACGATGGGATATTACAAACAATAATATAGGTATTCGATCTTGTTTAGTGGTTTGGGAAGATGTTCACTTAGTTTCCATCATTCTCATAGAAGGGATCAGTAAAGAAAATGTAAATTTCATTCTGAAAGCCTCAACTGCCAAAGTAACATGTTCCTAACAACAGGTGGTAAAATACAGCAATATTTATTGTACTGTTGTTGACTACTGGAAGGCGGGTACACTCAGCTGACGAGTCACAAACAGGGCGAAACAGCTGTCACGAATTCCTCTGCTAGACACCTTCCATCAATAACATATAATTTACTATGCTGGTTAGCATGCTTATCCAGGTAATTTCTTATGTTCACATATTTGACTACAAGTAAGCATTTTCAAACAGCAAATAATTTATTTTAGGAAACAGTTACCAAAAAGACAGTTTAGTATAACCTCTGAAAAAGTTTTATTTGAAAAATAATACACATATGATATGTACATACAGATAAATAACTCAATTACATAATTACATCTGATAGCACAGTAGTGATAAAAATACACGATAAAGTTTTCATCGGTAAACTAATGTAGGCTAAGAAAAAACTGATTTTAAACGAGTTGGCATAATTTGTAGCTTTTGACCGTATCAACTCGGAATTACGGTGAATATAGCTATAAACATGTCGTCCATTATCTAAATTTGGTGATTCTAAATGCACTGAAGCTTTCGATATATCTAAAAGGGGAGAGAATAGAAAATGAATGATTGAATTACGGAGTTCCACCCTATGCATGTGAATTTTATCAGAAGAGAGTAGAGATAGAATGAAACTATACATTTAGTACTTAAAATTGCGTTCAAGCCAAACTGTAATCAAATTTTTGAAACAAGATCGTGAGTATAACTTGTTTCCTAGGCAAACGTCGGCCTAGTGAAGGATCTGCTTGCTTTCGCGAAGTCCCTTAAAAATAGGGTGATACAGCAATTAACGGATTATTCAGTTAGATTTCTTCAGTTTGAGTAAGAACCCTACGTTTCCCCTGAAAATAAGGAAAACTACTTCGTTAATTTAATAGGTGATAGGATTGGCTTATTAGTCACCTCATATTTATATTTTACATAAGCTACTGGAACATATCGGATAAGGAAAATATACTCTTAAATGTATAACTCTTCGAAACGGAAAGAGCGAAGGCTACACGCTGAGGTACTTTCATAGAATAACTGAGAAAATGGTGTAATTAACTTCAAATTCTTATCTATAGACCTTTATCTGTCCGAAAAAAAGGTGAACAAACTGTTCTACAAAATCTATACAACCAAACTGGAAACCTGTTAGCTCCACTCTCTACTGAATCAAATTTCTACAAGTTGACCGGTCAAAAAGTGCAGATGGCCGGCAATAAACGGAAATAAATCCTTTAATTTTTTATTTCTAGCATCTCATGACTATAAACATTGATGATGTCATATGAGTAAGACAGTTATTCTTTAGTTAGTATCATACTATACAAGTGAAAATTAATACGAAGCGCACAACAGGATACAACTCTATAGACACTTCTGATCTGACCAGTTCAGTTTTGAAATTTCTCCTCTTTCCATTGATGGCTTGTGACAAGCTTCTAATTTTTCACGATGACGAAATTTTTGACCTTAGGATCTTGGTTCAGAGTTTATTTTCAGTAAAATCCAGTTGATAGCAAAACACCTACTCTGCTCAATATGACTGTTAGTTATGTCAAAAACATTCACTCAAATGTATATAAGATGCAAGATCAAACCCAAAATCTACAGTATTGAACTAACAGTCACTCATAGTGTGCTGAGTTATCAAACATGAACTTCATCATACATTTTTATATATTGACTTTTGTCGGTGATTCTCATCACAAAGAAAAATAAAACTTGCCAATAATTTCCACTTCAATTTGCCCAAAAGTGACTTTCGATGCAGTTGAAATGAATGAGGCAGTAGATGGGATAATGTCCTTTGAAATTATAGACTTTGATGAGCGGTCACTGTATAATCGATCTCCTGCGAAGGAATTCTTCTGCATTGGAGATGAACGAACAACTTGTGATGAACTATGCTCAGTCTTCTTGATAGGTTTGTATTTTTCTAGACAAATCCACTGACCTGTGTCTGATTCACTAGCTCGTTTTATAAACAAACGACTTTCCAAAGTGTTTGCATTTAGCCATCTTTGTTCAATATATACACTATCAGGTTTATATGGATCTGATTTTTTTTGAATACCCCTATGATACCATTCCAATACAACTTCATACTCAGGAAATTGAAATGCTGAGGGGAATTTAGCATAGCATTTTAACTCCAATGGTCTGCCGAAATAGGCTACATTTGGACCAGTTACAGTAAGCGCTGAAAAGATAATAAAGTATGATTCATTTAAACTGCAATTTCCTTTAACAGTAAATGTTATCCACAAAGAACTGCATCACTAAGCATAAAAATTTCAGTCTAAAAAAATGATTCTATTTGTAAACGATGGCTTTCAAGGAGAAAAGTTTCAAGTATGTTTTACTGAAAATTTCAGTCGTCACAATTGTTTCCTTAGAAAAATTTTCTTACGTCAGAAGATTGGATTATACAGAAAGTCCAGTAGAATTATCAGTTTAGCAATTTTCAAAGAAGTGTGCCGTTAGGCAGAAAAAGTAATCTTATCATCTCAGTCTCTTCAGCAACACAAATAATAAACATGAAGGATACTATCCATGCCATAATAGAAGACTTACTAGAAATCCCGATGAAAAGTGGATAACCATTGAAATATATTGATGAGAACTCAACTCGGTGAAACACCATGGAATGCTTAGTGCTTCAAGAAGGGTTTTTTCTTGAACTTCGAATCCAAGGTAGATAATGCTGTAGCTATACTTAGAACGAGACTATCAAGGTTCATAAACAGAATATATTTTACTGCCAATCTTGGAATCATTTTCCCCTGTCAGAATCTCATTCATCAGTACGCAAAGAATAAGCTGGAGCATCGGGCCACATAAGTTTACTTACTTCTGTGAAGCTGAATACACGGACCACACGATGTGTCGACTCGTGTACAGTACACAACCTAACTTACAAGGGAAAAACGAATCTACATTTTCAGCCCCGTAACAGAATAATTAGCATAGTCAGGACGCTATGCTTTCTTTTTGGTAATTGTTTTACACTTTTGCGCAAAATGCTGTCAAGCCATTTTTGAAAAGACTTAGGCAAAAACAGATGATCATTGCTGTAGTAATAGTAATAAAAAAGTTAAAACCATCATCAAGCGTTCAAAAGAATACGTTAGACACTTGAGGAAAATGGCTTGGAGCTCTAACAAGTATTTCAACATATTAGACAGTTTCATTTCATTGTTACTTTTTATCTGCAGTGTAGTAAATGTCACGAAAAAAGGTGACTTATAAACTTAAGAAATAATTAGGAGATGAACTCTGATAGTGTTATATTCTTCATTAGGAAAATCATACTGAGACATATGAACCTATGATTCGATAAGATTTCATATAAATGCCAGCAAAGTATCTTAGTTCAAAGAAGTTGAGTGAATAATGTCACATGAGAATGGTGAATTACCAAATTCAAATATACAAACTTCAGAAAAGAAGCCATAACCAGACTTCAGTGGAAAACACTGGAATTATTTATTTGAAACATGGTAAGATTTATACAAATATAACTTGTCTTATTTCAACTTTTAACTCTGTACCCAATGTTTGTAAAATTATTTGCCCAAATCTTGGCCAAGATTCACATGTATTTTATCTCAAGTTTACTTATGAGTCAACTGATTCAGTCATAGTCTAATTTACCATGTTCTCTCGAGAAGTTTGTCAATGGAATTCTTGAAATCTTTTCGATCTGCTGTTATAAAATATTTTACACTTATCATTTACAGATAATAATTTTAGCTATCTGAGATAGCTGTCGTTTGCCAGACTAGTTTTGATACTAGGTGATAACTGAAGATGAAATGAAATTTTGAACTGCTTCCGGATTCGAACTAGTCACCACCGAGTAGTTAAATAAACCTAAACATGTATCCTAAATATCTTATCATCAAGACGTATAGTGATATTAATTCGAACTGAATCTATCTAAAGTAACCAAAAATGTAAGTATTCCCAAACACATAACAGTTTTGTTCTGGTGATGATTGGAGGTGAGATGAAAATCTGGACCACGGCCGGATTCGAACCAGCGACCACCGGGTTACCGACCCAACGCTCTACCAAGTGAACTAAGCGTCACGAATTCACATGATGATTGAAGTGAAGTGAAATTCTGGTCGGTAGTTGGACTTTGTAGCCCAGTTGGTAGAGCACTGGGCCAGTAACCCGGTGGTCGTTGCCTCCAATCTGGCCGGGGTTCAGATTTTGATCTCACCTTTAATCATCACCCAGTACAAACATTAAAGTTTGTTGATTCAATCAGGGTCATTAGTTGGTGTGGAAGGAGGACGATTTCACTGCATATCATGTAATTGTTGATAAACATTCCGTTGATTGAAACGGTTTTGTTTGTTATACAGCTTCATTCTATCCCAATACCTAAATAAGAGTTTGGAGCATGATCACCCAGATGAACTCACTAGTCACATGTTTGGTGTTTACCTCAGATTTATAAGCGAAACTTATAGGGTTAACCAATGTGATGTGACAGTATGGCTTTCTCCTGAACCTCTATTTGACTAAATTAAAAACAGAACCACTTTATGTAATCGACTTGATTCAAGGTGTATAAAGGGTGAAACCTAGATGTAACAAGTCACTTCGTTAGGTTTAGTTACAGATAAACTGTGGAAATTGATTTGAATTCAATATTCCATTTATGTTCCATCAAACACCAAAGGACGGACGGAAGCCCAAGTACCAGTAGGTGGGATAAAATCTTATATTTCCTTTCTCTTCTAGGATCAGTAAGATATGTACTGGTGACATTAAAGGGCTAAGATTAAGAACCCATGGTAGATTATTGCTATAACATCGTGGTCAGCTAAGTTTCAAAACAATCATATGAAGGAAAAGAACGTCAGTTAACAGTCATACCCTAAATCTAAAGAGAATCCTCTTAATAAACCCCAAATCGAAAGACGACTTCTTTATTGGTACACCGTGTGGATGCCTGACGATGTTTCAGAGTACGATATTGGCATCTACAACTCTTGAATTAGCCTAATGAATGAGCTTCTGATTAATTATTTCGCGGATGGTATACCGACTAGAGAAACTTCATTAAAGTGTTTTGCAAGATTAAATGTTCCCCATAGCTCGAATACCAGACACATGCGTAAGCACCACTTGACTGAAAACAAGAAAATTTAGTGTTATATTATCAGACACCAAGAGAATTTGGCACACGTAGTTCCTTTTAAAGTTTGTTCATTGCCATTCACAAAGTTTTGTCAGACCCTTAGAAAACCATGAGAACAAGAAATTTGTCTGATCAGGATATTAGTAGTTGACAAGCTATAGCGTTAACTACATGTTTAGTATAAGTGTTTAATCACGTCTTTGCTATTGCCTGAAAACTGCACACCGTGTTTTTGCATTTAGTTTCTAACTTCTCATTTGTATTCTACACCTTCCGTCAGTTTTTTTGATTATCCTTTATGTTATCTGTTATTCCTTTATTCTCTTTTTCGATATATTTTCAGTGTTCAACTAAATTATACTCATATGGATGGACAGCTTTGGAAGTTAGTTTACTAAAAGATAAGTACAAAGAATAATACCTACCAGTGAAACCCAAAAAGTACATCTCATCCTATGGCTTGTCGTTTATTTGACTGATCAGGCAGTAGTGCTACGTTGGTATCTAAACAGATGCACCAATATAGCTGATATTTGAAGTTTTCTACTTAGAACAAATGACATGTAGCAGCAGAATCAATTTCACCTGTTTATTCTCTTTCAGGACCCCTCTGCTGAGCGTACTTGAGTGTTGTTCCCTCTGTACTTCAGTTAAACATCTAATACTTCCAACACCAGTGTGTTGTTCATTCAGTCAACAACCGTAAACCAAAATCAATGACAGGAAAGATTACTGTCTTTAGTGCAACCACCATTTAATTTTTTCTATGATATTTTACCTGTTCTTAATTATCTGACGACTATATACAGTGCCCATGAAACACATTGTTGTTCTTGAAAGTGATTAGAAATTTTCCATGACCGTAATTTACTTGACATTCCTTTTAAGGGTATGTGAAGTTGGAAAGTCACCATCTAGTGTTCAACATATTTATTTGGTGAACAAGAGGTAACATGTTTTAGCTTTATTCAAACATAAACATTTCAATTTATACAGCAATCAGGTATTCAACAGAATATGCGTTTATGTAGGCAAAATAGTTTAGGGTGATTAAGAGTTTATACCAACAGCAAGTAGTGTTATTTTTTAATAATAAAAGTTGACTAACACTTTACAAAGCACACAAGGGAGTATGCTTTTTTAAATTAATCTTTAGATCATTACGAATAGATTGAAAAGTAGTTCATCTTAGTAGCTATACTGCTATCCTGGCTTTCAGATTTCAAAATGAAGCTTTCGTCCTTATACTGAATAAAGTATTCGGGAGCCGCTTAAGAAGCAAGTATTGCTTGGAAAAATCTGATCAACACACTAAGCACTCCTGATGAGAAATGTACATTTAGCCAGTGTAACAATTTCATGTTCTAACAGAAAGACATTCTTGGTTCAATAAACATACCGTCTACGCACTCTGATAATGGTATACTCCAGAAATTGGTAACTCATCTATTGTCATCTGACAACTAACCCTATCAATTTGTATTGAACATCACGTTTTACACTTAGTAGATTATTGATATTTTATACTCAACTTGACTAAAGCGACAGAATGTACTTGTCAAGAGAGCGGGTGAATATTTCCTTGGTAAGAACTTTACTACAGCTCATTTCCTAACACAGCACAAAGTAAACAATACCCTTGCTGACATAAAGTGTATATTCACTTTGATGTGTGCGTTTTTTTTAGTATAGTATAATTTTTTGATTAAGACGATATCTGTTTTAAGATAGTGTCAACTAGCTGCAAGAAGAACTACTAAACCACATAGATTTTGCAATTATTTACCCACTGCTTCGATTAGCATCTTTCCTCTACTCTTAAAAATATTATTATTAAAGCTTGTCTTTTCATTGCAACAGTAATCTCCTTTATTTAATCTTCAAGTTGAGTAGCTTAAATCAGGAATGTAGGATTACTTCAGATATTTATATATATATCCATTCTTGACCGATTGAACAAACCTGATTAGGGTCATTCCACAATGAAATTTTCATGTTGTTATTTGTATTCATTACAAAAAGTATAGCTTAGAAATATGAAGCACTTGCCACGTTGATTATATTCATGTTCAGTGTTACATATTCCCACGGTTTTATTATCAGAATTGATTAACTAATGCTTTTTAATTGACTTAATTATGAATAGTCATAGTTTATAGCAGAAAAGCTGACCACAGATATTACCGACTTTGTTTCTATTGCCTGTCAGTTGAAATAATAAAAGTCTTTCACCTGTGGTTTGTGTTTCGATTCACAGACAGTGTACGTGGGCAGAATATATTTTTATCCAGGTTTCAAACAGATCAAAATTATTCCGATTGAAATGTAAATTGAACTACGGTGTTACTTCTTACATCAGATCTATTTCTTCTGCACAAAGCAACTAAGTGAGTTTCTGAATTCAGATTATCATTATTTTTTTACTCGGCGATGAGATTTCTTTTCAACTGTCTATCAGAACATCACAGAAAAAAGCTTCGTTTTTTACTGATATGTGGCTGCAAAAAATTCACACATTGTATAACAATTGTGATAGATAAAAGAAAAAACAGTAGGAAATAGCAAGGTGTGATCAAAAATACAACTCACTGCGATTTTTGGATATAAATTTTGCTGCTACCGGTGAACGATTTAATTGCTTTCCTTTCATTGGTTCCACTTCAACTTTGATTCAAAAAAGCATATGATACATCATTTTAGGTTTTATTTTTGAGATATTTACTTTGCACATGAAAAGTTATATTTTATAAAGAACACTTAGATTATCTAGTTATCTTCATACTATTACTATACCAGATATATCTCTATATCTTAATTTGTTCTAAGTAAATTATCTGTCAAGCCATTCGAACCTAGGGTTTCATTTAAATTACCGCATACCTTTAAAAGGCTTCATTGTAGATTATATCATATCTGGGAAGTCTAATCACACTAACAGATAAACGTCATGTGTACTTGACAAGAGCGTCGAATATTTTTTTCGAAAACGTTCCTCGAATAGAATCCCTGCATTTAGTTACGTGTATGTAAAATATGATATTAAAAAGCGTACTAATCATGGATATGCTTACTACTGTGGAACTTTAGAACCACAGGAACCTTCATGAAATTTGCACTAAAATCAGCAATAATATCATCAAAACTGCACCATGTAGGGCTGTCGTATCTTCGTGTCACTCAGTTCTTCAGTGCTATTAAACACTGATTTCTTTTGGAGAAAGAAACTTTTTGAATAAAACCGATACTGTCCAAATTCTAAGAATAATTTATTCTAGCACATCTTTCCAGGGGTTTGTGGAGATTCATTAGTTGGCTTAAGGTTGGTATTCTTCACGGACTGATATCTTTTAGAGGAACATTAGAAACATGGGAGCATTGAACAACGGTTTTGTCCTAGTATGGAGTTTTTCAGCTGTACGCACCCGTGACCCCACCCTCCACAGATCAAACCCAGGATCTTCAGGTTCGTGACCAGCACCCTACTACTAAAGCGATGGCTTCAATGGCTTATATAGCCTATTTCTATCAGTTCATGATCCAGCGCGACCTACATCTAATATCATTGTTTAAGGTCCTAGGTTTGATCACTTGTGGGGTCATACGTACTTTCTGCTAAGTAGTCTCATACTAGGATGAAACAGTTATCCAGTTCTCCTGAGTTTTCAATGTTCCTCCAACTTATTTCAATTCATGACGAATACCAACTTGTAATCAACAAATCTGCATAAGCCCGTAAATAAGCATTTCCATGTGTTTTCGTTAGGTGGCTTTCTCACATCAGGGGCACTAATGAATCGCTGTAAATAATACCAATTCCAAAATTCTGGGAATGGTTTAAACTTCATGACCATATCATCACTGAAATACTCTTATATTCTGAGGAGAGAACCGATATAATGTGCATTTTATGATGCATATTAACCAGACCTGATTGAACGTCTAGTATTTTCACTTCAGACTAAAAGTATATTTCAAAGAAATGGGTGAGAAATTTACACTCTTGAATAAATTTTCTTTCTATGTAACACCGAAAAATTGACAAGTGGGATATTTCCGAAGTGATGCGATATTTAGATCAAAAATAAATCATAATACTTTACAGACTGTATAGAGAATTGTAAAATTTTTTTGGCAATCGATCGTTTTGCTTATTTATTCCATGGTTTTTCAGATAATTAAAATACCATTCTGTTTTCATATAAATCATTATATACTAGAATAAATAGTAGACAATGTTCCTACCAAAGAATTAGTGAGAATATTTATTATTTTTTGGTTAAAGTCAGAAACTAATAAACAGCTTCAATCAGAATTCTTCATTCACTGACATATTCACAGTAATCGTTTAACAACTTTGGATTACTTCATCTGAATTTTACTTTGAATGGATTATTTTGGGATTTAACCTTCTTTCGGTTGAATATATAAGTTCAAGAGCTTACACCTTACTGCAGGCAGAGTTGTAAGAGACAGTAGAGAAATTTCACTTCGAAATCATCTATAATCTCAGGAAAATGGTAGCCTTTCATATAGTTCAGTTTATTCAATTCACTTCAGTCATCTAAAGTGTTAACATGACTCCTTTTTGACAAAATGATATACTTAATTGAATGATATATGTTATGATAGATGGTAGATACTAGCAATTAACTATCCGTTTCAAATGATCTTTAGTACATGATTACAGCATGTAGTATTACGTTTGAACATTTTTCATCTTTATCCCAGTGTGCACTTTAGTTGTAAGATTTTCTCCAACATATATTCACACTAAAAGCGTAACATTTCAGTATCTCTGTATATTTTGTTGTCAGAACCTTGAAAGATGTCAGGTTGTTTAAAACTTTTGGTGGGCACACTACTTTGAATTATGAGGATAGAATACTGTGAAGATTCTTATTATTATTTTTCACTTGGGTTCTTAGTGGAAAAGCCTACTTGTGAAATAATATTCATTAGGCGACTATATGTGCACACGTCCACGTGAATGTGAAGAGTAAGAAAACGAATACTTACCTACAGATATATAATAGTCTGGATTATAAAATTTTGAGTCTGTATTATTATTCATTTTGTCTTGATTATCATTCACCTTTTTCCAGGAAATGTCAATGTCATCCGATCCTTTAAATCTTTTTTCTTCCTCATGTACTGATTTCACAGTACATGTATACAAACCACTATCTGTTAATTTAGCATCTGCAATTCGTAATCGCCATTTATTCGGTGGTTTATATTTGACTATTATTCGTGGATCAGGCACAAATCTACGTTTTCCTATTGTAAGAGGATATTCCATACCAATTTTGTTCCACATTACCTAAAATTTCAAAGGAGGATATAAGGACTCAATAAAAGCATATACAAGAGTAAATATATAAAATAATATACAAATAATTGAGTGACTACATAACTGTCTGCCTATAGTGTATTTATGAAATGTCACTATGATTATGAATGACTTTTATGCTTATCAAACGATGAGATGTGATGGTAAATGTGAATTACACTTAAACTATAACAGCAAAAATAATCCACTAGTACTATATTGTTTGTATAGTTTCCTCCAGATAGCTTAGAATAATAAACTTTCAGTTCAAGTAATGCTTTGCTTCGTAGTGAAGAGGCATAGTACATTTTGATAAGAGGACATATTTTCAGAAAATATTATCACATTCAATATACACACACTGATAAGTAATTTTTCCAGACTAAAATGCTTTGATTTTACTGATAGGCTGAAAAACTTATTTTTATATTCTTGTAAGCTAATGTCTAAGTCTTAACCCTTAAGAAAGAATTAAAAATGAAAGAAATACATAGCATCATTTGAAACCTCACTTGACGTACACTTACCTTCTCTACAGAGTATAACACAAAGCTCAGTGATTTAATTGGAACATAAATATATCATCACGTAAGGTGCTTCTCTAGTGGTGATACATTTCCATGCAGAATGTGATAAAAAAATCCTTTGAAACCAAGAAAGGTCGGAGTAATTACTCATGAATAAATTAGAATTCTGGAGAAAACTGTTAAAAAAGATTCTGTTGGTCCCTAATTTTATAGATTTTTCATCGAGGAGACACTAAAAAGGAACATGCTAAAATGTAACACCAAAATTCTACATGTATCCGGGAAGAATAAAGTATCCACAGAAAACTATGGACACTTACGTGATCATTTAATTTGATAAGAAGGTGAATAAGAATAGCTGAAAGCTTAGCATTTTGAGTGGATGGCCAAATGCAGTTATCACGACAGTCATTCACTCCTCAGGTTAGCATCAGTTTATTCCAAATCTGTTTTACACCAGATAATTTATAAAATTAGTTTCACTCGTTAACAATTAGGAGTAGGTAACATTAAAGTATGAAGTATTTAGTGACTAATCAGTGACCACCCCGTATGCATTGGACGCTCTCCTATATCATGCACGCTTGAATGATCATATCTTCAAGGGTAGTACATGATGGTGAGATTTTTAATAGTTTGATACACTGTGATTTCACCTTCAACAAAACAGTCATTCTGTATGGCAACCAGCTTTTCAATAAATGGTCCCAATCCAAAAATTTTTGTGGATCTCCATCTTACTTCTGTTTGGTTTTGTAATCCAGGATAGCTAATAATCATCTTTCGTCACTGTTTAGTACGTCTGAATAAAACTGCATAAATTGTAGACTTTATGTGTTTTACAGTTTGGTCTGACTTCTCTCGAACAATGGCTTCCCAACTGTCCACAAATGTCGACAATATTGATGATCCAGTGGCCAGGCCATCACTTAATTTGAGTTTTTTATCCTGATAACTGAAAATAGTCTAGGTAAGATATAATTGCACCTTGATAGAAACCTTTTTCACTGGTAACATAGTTCTGAGTGTGATCTACTGGTCAGTATCGCGTTCACTTCTAACCGCTTCAAGAGCCATATTTATTGATATGTTGTTGTAGAGGATAGTTTCATCAAAACCAGTTGATTTTTAATCTTATTATATATGCATGTATTCTAACCCTATTCTTTTTCATAAGAATTAGTAAACCTCAACCATGAACAGTTCCTGGTGTAGCATAATATCGTTGCTAAATATTTATATAGCTTATTGGTTGGGCAGAGTCAGAAGTTGACTACATGTCTAGTAGGATAACCTGACTTGCAAAAGTAATTAACTTAATACATCTAACTGGAGTTTGCAATTGTGGGGATTAAATAAAAGTACTTAGAATCAGAAACGGTTTTGTTGGATGTATTAGATCAGTTGTCGATTTCTTCACTACGTAACAGAATTCTCTGGTTTATTATTTGCTCTATATGGACCTGCTTCTATGTGTTCGTTAACTTCCCGAGTGTAGTCGCACTTATACATTATTACTGTCAAGTCATCTTGATCTTATTTAGCTATTCCTATACTCCTGTTATTCTGAAGGCTCTTTAAACCTTTCCCTTCTTGCTTCGATAGCTTTTTGACTTTCTTCATCTTTCTTTTCTGTTTTAGTGTACACTGTGCAAAGACTTCTATGGTAGTTACTTTATCCATTGCACTTGATGCTAATTCTTATTTAGTGGTGGCATCCCCTGGTTGCAACTTACCTATGGCTGTACTGAAATCTAATCCTATCTCAAGTGCTTTCTTCTTAATAAAAACTAAAGCAAAAGGTGGAAAACAACAGGATTAAGTATCTACTTCAAGAAGTTAGACGCTTACCTTGATATGATGACGAGCGATGAATCGTACTCAAAACGTCATATTATATAACATATTGGTTGTCTGATACATATACAAAAATGAACCACAATAGAGTTATGCTTTACGATATTGTCCACTTTTATCGCATACTTACAAATGATTACTGGATCTGTAGCATATACGAGTGTGAATGGATACATTTTTGGGATCACTTTTATTCTTAGAACTGAGAAGGGCGTATGGGATCAATAAGTGAAAAGCTCGTTGTCATATCCAATGACTGTTTGCTAAAAGGTGAAATCGTGACGTATCAAACTGTGAAAAATCTCACCATCATATACTGCCCTTGAAGATATGATCATTTAAGCGTGCATGATATAGAAGAGCGTCCAATGCATACGGGGTGGTCACTGATTAGTCACTAAATACTCCATACTATAATGTTATCTCATCTAGTTATTAACTAGTGAAACTGATTTTATAAATTATCTTGTGTAAAACAGATTTGGAATAAACTGATGCTAACTTGAGGAGTGAATGACTCTTCTGATAACTAGATTTTGCTCTTGTTTAGAATTATATTTAAGTGGTCATTTGGCAAACCGTAAACAGCCTAAACGTGACACTTCAAGAGTAATAGGACAGTGAGTGATGTTTCAGATTAAATTAGCTATTCAGAAGAAAGTCTTCGGTTAGGGGTTGGTCGCGAAAATTGCCGTAGACTCCAAGACATAGTTTTGCAGAGCAATTATTCTGTACAAAGTTGTCTATAAACCATTGGAGGAAAATTAATTTTCAGGATCTTATTTTTAACTTTAAAGCAAATTCTTTGAAATCATTTGCCTGTCACTCATTTCCCAGATCATACCATTTCGATTTGTCTTTAAGTTGCTCTTTCTATTGAGAATGTCAACAAGCAATCATTCTACTTTTATTAGATGTTGATTTGTCGTAAAATTATGCAGAAAACACAGAAAATCTTGTGAATGAAAAGACTTTCAAATCATCAGTCAGTTAATTTAGGCAGTAAAATGTTGAATAGTTTTTGAGTTGGTTTGCCTTTCATCATCTTAATATGAATAACCACTTATATTCTTGTTTGGCGCTGTCTAGTAGTACAGTCAAAGATACATATTTTTAAACAGTTGAAAATCATCAACTGAATTTATCGGCATCATAATGAATGATGGCATTCCAGCTAACGCTTCACCTAAAAATTTCTGAATCTAAACCTAACAGCGCTTTTCACTAGTCAATTATTGTATCTCAGCCACTTCCTGCACAACAGTTATCAGTTATTATTTCTTGGTATTTGCAATTTATGAAATCTAATTGAATTATCCAGTCTCTATTGACCTTTTTACAGAACTTCAAACGGCCATAAAGGTTGATCAATTCTACCGACTGCACTAATCACCGGGTATTGCAAGTGAAAATAAATATAATTTCCGATAAAATCATATGTTTAAAATGTTTACAAAAACTGTCGTCAAATAAATCAAAATCTCGATAAATACATCTAAAATCACGAAGCGCTAAGCTTGTAAATATAAAGCAATTCCAACTTCATAATCACCACAGTGTGATACTAAACGAATACGTGATCGTAGAGAAGATTGGTTACTACGAGTGAGAGTGATAATTCTTTATTGTTCTTCGAGTTTTAAGATTTTATCTTGGCTAGTTAATCACCAGATTAGGTGACTTCATTAGCATTAGTTTAATGCAGAAATAAACGCCGCAAATTGACAACATTATTCTGCATTAGGCTAAGTAGGTGACAAGCGTACCCTTTGATGAGCTTTATTTCCTTTTCTTTTATCGGTCCTTACCGACTTAGCTAATATAAACACTTTTTAAAATCCCACTGCAGGCAGTCGAAGAAGTGAAGTGAGTCCTGATATTTCACACAAACTTCAGAGAGCAATTGTAATAAGGATTACGCTTGCAGGTGAATATCACTCAGTTAATCAAACAGAACACTGGAAACCTGTGACACAAGATAAAAGTGAGTAAAACCATAGAGTTTGCCGGAGACATGAGGAAGCCATATGCACAATTCAATTACATCATTAGAAAAGCATTAAAAACACTGAGAACCAAAAAATGAATGACGAAAACTCACAGCACCTGAGGAATATATGCTTTCATGGTAGCAACCAAAATATAAGACTACAGTATTTAAGGTAGTTAACCTGGCTCGCTTGAAGAATGCATGTTAAATGTAAAACAATAAAAACATGAAGATTTCTACCACATTTATTGAAAAAAGTGAATGCCTCATCAATCTCACTAGGTTTTGAAGGCCCCCGTAGCAATGGCTAAGGAAACCAATCAGAACATGGTACTTCGACTAGAAAGGAATTTTTTTACAAAATAAAGAAATCTGATTGGTTATCTCAGTAGTTTCTATGATGGCTCTTTAGGTTACTCCGAAACTTCATGTATCGAAATGATTAGCGGCAAATATAGACAAATTTCTTGGTTTTGTCGAATCTGAAGAATCGCTTCTGTAATAAAAGATTTTTAACTGCATGAGATAATATGGTTTTATACTGGTGGTTAAGAAAGTAGTTAACACTGATGATAGTGCGCTAAAAACCAAGGCCAAACGAAGGATACACATTCGTC